GTTTGGTTTTAATTAAGGAGGCCAGATCCTAACCAAAAGAAGAATCCTTACTTCCTATGATATGCTGTGATTTCACCTTTATGCTAATGGCAAAGAAACAACTCTGACTTTCTATATGGCATCGGTAGCATCATTCCAGTCACATGGACACCATTCACCCAGAGAACAGGATATTGTCAGTGACAGGCATCGTGCCAGTCAGGGTTGGACCTGGCCTGAGTCACCAGATCATCCCAGCAGTCTAACATGAGCCCCAGTCATGTCTTCAGCACTACCTAGAAAGGAACAACACTGACTCTTTCTGCTTAGGAGTAGTTTTAAAGCAGAGTACTTCTGGCACTAAAACAACTATAAAAGTAAATATAAAGTAAATGACATAGATACTAAACATTAAGGAGGTTTTTTTCCCCCAGAATGATCTCCAGTCAACCATCAGCTATTTTTACTGTTCCTTAAAAACTGTGTTTCTTTTTTATGTAAACGGGTTTGAATCTACGGGGGAGATGAAATTAAAACAAACATAAGACCATCCACAAGTTTTACTATGATTTTATGGAATCAATCCCATTCTCTTCCAACTAACTTAAATGACACTGGTGGAAATAAAACCAGAGCAAAATCAAGCAGAACCGTACACCTCCATCCTTTCTCATATGACACGCAACTTCTAGTCGGCAGTATTGGGTTTTGCAAGCCTTGTGGTAGAAGTGTCAACCTTTCAAAATGCCCAAGATCTATCTATATATGATTATCATTATGTGTACAAGGCTGAAAAAATGTTCTTCCTCCTTCACATTAGTCATCTTAGCTAAAGCTTTTGCTCTCTTTACCTAGCAGAAAGGGACAGTATTTGCTTATTTTATCATGTTGTCATAACTCAGCCAAACACTTGTTGAAACACGCTGGTGTATTTTGGAGCCCTGTGGTCTTCAATTACCACATCTAACTAATTTTTCAGTAAATACAGCCAAACCGGAAATTAGAAACAAAAAGCAAGAGACAAAAATCTATTGCACGCTTGCATGCAACCCCTCCATAATGCTCACACCATGAGCAATGGCTGCAAGCTCTGAAGATCATGAACTTTCAACTCTTGGCCTGATTTTTAGGCATTAATCACCTACAACTGCAGCTGAAGCCAGCTCTTGTCTGAGAGTTCAGGACACACTCAAACTAAAAGTACAGAAATTCAGTCATAAAAAGCTGAATAACTTAAAAGGCAGAAGGATATTCTACATCATTTATCATCTTGACCCTTGCCCATGGCATGGGGATTGGAACTAGATGGTCCTTAAGGTCCCTTCCAACCCAAGCCATTCCATGATCCTATGATTCTCATAACAGAATAGACAAAAACATGCTCCAAAAAATAATTTACAATATTTATCCTTTCTTCTTATGTTAAAGGTAGTAAATAATAATTAAAAACCCCACATTACTTATTTTCTTTTTTTAAAGCAGCAGTGCCTACCTTTTTCCCCCCTGCCTCCCCCAGGCATCTACATTTGCTCAGTAAGTCAGGCAACCAGCTAAATGGATGTGTGTAAAAGATCCAGGATTAACTATTCAAGCTCTCAATGGCTTTTTTTTTTTTTTAATTTCTTCAATGAATTACTGTTTATTAACAACAAGCAGCATATAAGATTTTTCTTATGTACCCTTCTTTTTACAGTACGGCATTTGTAAGGATTGGTGAAAAGGCCTTCACTGTGGCTTCTGTTTTTCAAGTCTCCCATACAAACTCTTTCCATATATCTTATGGGATTTTTTTTTTCCTGCTAAAGGATAAAAGAATGTAATTTACAGGCCAATATGAAGCCATATGGATCTCTTTCCTTTTTTTTTTTTTCCCCTCAAATTTGGTCAGTAAAGATCAATTTTCCTTTAGAAGGCCAAATGATACCAGAGTAATTTTGCTTTTGAACAGTCCAAAGAGCAGCAGCACTGGGAGGAAATGGAAGTAGGTCATGTTTTTCTCCTGGTTTGTTATACAGAACAGAAACAGAAATCTGAAGGATTATGCTCAAATAACAACAGGTCATTTGCATATGATGGGAGAGAGGGGATTGCCTAAGTGCAAGAGGATTGCATATTGCCTCCTGGAAGGTAACTTAAAAAAAACACCACATACCACACCAAAAAACCCCACACCAAACAAAAAACTCCACAAAATTCCTAAACACACAAAAGCCCCAGAACAAAACGGAGCCTCACTTTCACGTAGAGGGTGGTGAGGCACTGGCACAGGTTGCCCAGAGCAGCTGTGGATGCCCCATCCCTGGAAGTGTTCAAGGCCAGGCTGGATGAGGCTTTGAGCAACCTGGTCTAGTGGAAGGTGTCCCTGCCCATGGCAGGGGGGTTGGAACTAGATGGTCTTCAAGGTCCCTTCCAACCCAAAGCCTTCCATGATTCTATGAAAACCAAAACAAACCCAAGGAAAACACCACATGGATAACATCTTTTTCCAGTTTTAGCTAATGGGGGAGTAGTCAAATTATAGAATCAGAATTATAACAGAAGTAATTGTAGGAACAGCAAGGAAGGAGACCTAGACAGACGGATAGTCCCAACTACTTACTACTTCTCCAGATTTCAGGAAGAAGCAGCACTGGTACCTGTTTTTACATTTACACACACTTCACGAGCAAATAATAAACTGGCACTACTTAAGCTTCATACCATCCTACTAGACACATTACAAGCAGCAATAAAACCACTCAAAGTTTGGCCTATTTGTTAATAGAGAAAATATTGTCCAGCAAAATGCCTGAAACTGAAGGAAATACAAAACCTTCTCAGTTTATATTTGTACCATATTTGGAAGGTTATTTCCATAACCATAGCAGCTCATGGTTTGGAATGAGTAGTTCAGACCTTCAGTCATGCAAAGAGCCTTGAATTCTCCACGAAAAGTAAGCCCACAGATGTTCTTAGGCAGGTATGCTTAACATCCTCTGCCCACAGCCACGCTTGCTGCTCCTGTAATATTTTGTTGAAATGGTAATACTTTCTGTGTACGCTGCAACAATTTGGCTAAAACCAGCAAGTCTGTAAACAGTAACATGAATTTTCCAACATGAATAAACATCTCAATTCAGATATATTAAAAGTTTTCCAGTTTCATGAAATGGGACCGTAAAATTAATGCCTTTTCGAACAGACTGAAAACGACGTGTGTTGCTCCATTTGACTGCATACCTTAGAGCAGATTTCTAAAGCCTTTTGTCTTTAACAGACTTTATAGTCTAAGCATCCTGCAAATTTCACCACAAGATTTGACTTTAAAACCAACTGGCCTCTCCTTAAACTGAGGTAGTTATGAAATAAAGGCCTCAGAAAATCATCATATTGAAGTGATCTGAACACAGAGAGTTGTTTAAACACCCAAGTCTTCCAGGTTTTCCTGAAGTTTAAAACCAAAAAGTGATGTTAATGTCTTCTAATCCTGAAGACCTAACAACCACTGTTTTCTCAAACTCCCAGAAGCAAAGCTGGAGTCATACGGGTGCACTGCATTCACCCGTTACTTATGCTTGCTTCTAAACAATTTAATGAAAGGAATCTGATCTCAAAATGGTTCCTACTAAGTGTTTGTGAAATTAAATTGTTAACTCTTATAAAACACACATAATTTCCAAAGTATGGTAAAGAAGCAGCTGTGGAAGAAAAAAAGTTTTCTGGGACAATAAGGATATTTGTACCCACAAGATAAGCAGCACAACATCATAAGCATTTATAATTTCAGCTAGAGCTACACTTTTGAACAGCAGTAATTGCCTAAAGACTGGCAATTTTAGTCTGTTTGCTATGGATATTTGATAGGCACTCAGACGGACACAAAAGCATAACAAGTTGCTACATACATGAGCATTTCACTTGATGACGGTTCTGTTCACAAATACCTGCCTGTCCAGAGTTTTTACTTTCGACTACAACAAAAATCTGAGACTGAACACAGAGCTGTAGTTGGGTCACAAACAGGAGCAGAGAGCAGACTAAACAAAGCATGTGTGTGTACACACACAAAACAAACAAAAACTTATAAATTGATAATTTTTTTAAAAAATGGATTTTCCTAATCAGAATTCCTTAATCTTTAATACAGAAATAACGTCTTTTCAGTGACCGTAAGGGCTTTCACAGAGCACTATACATGTAAGATTTGTGTCTTGCTGGTAACCCCCCATTTCACAGAAGGGAAAACTGAGCCAATGAAGAGAAGTCACCATAGCTGTATAAAATGCAGGTAACAAAGGATGAAATTTGAGCACAGGTTTCTAATTTCCTATTCACTGAACCCTGAGAACTTTGAAAAATATACATTCCAGTACACTTTCATAACAGCAACAGTGTTCTGCCACCTTACATGTTAATTACCTAAGCACGGCACGTTAAAAACGTTAGTGATTACTAACGGCTAGATAGTGTAGAACAGAATCGGTCTTTGTATCAAAACTAGTTCACACTGATTCTTCAGATCACACACAAAAGCAGCAGGAACTCCATTTCCTTACTTGGCAAGTATAAACCTAGATTAATTTCAACAGGCACTGACTGTATAGAGAAACCTTAAATGAGATCGCTTTGATTCTTTCCTTGCACTCAACGTGTGTGAGCACTTGGAGTCAGTAAGAGGGATATCAATTAATTAAAACTTCGATGATGATTTCAAGTTATCATCCTAAGGACTGAACATAGAAAAACACCACCAAAAAAAAAAAAAATCTGTATGGACCTCTAGTTTACTGGCTCTAGAACAAAACAGTTCTAAGGAAATATATAAACTGTTCAGAAAGCAGAAGAAACCACTGATGTAATGTTTGAAGGAAAAAAACCATCAAGGACTTCCACCTCTTCTGAAGCTGTTCAAACAGAAACAGGATAACTACTGTAATTTACAGTTCACTTCACTGTTCAATGCTTTTCTATGGCACCATCATCTACTTTAATGCTGATATAACAGCCATTTTCTTCCCAACATGAATTTATTAGCCAAAGAATCAGAGTTGAAATAAAAAGAGAACTGGTTTGAAAACATGTGTTTTTAGTAATGGCTGAATAATCTTTAGCCAGCCCGACCCCTACATCCTTACCGGAACATCAAAAGTTTCTTGTGTGTCATCCAGCATCTGAATTTTGATGGAGACGAGTTTTCCTGGAGGTGTGATGGGTGGTTTCTGTCCATGCTCCAAGGTACTGATCCCAGCATTTTCCTGAGCTCCTAACCGGGATCCTGCTGTTGGTCTCTGCTCTGTTTCACCCATGTTTAGAGAAACACGTTTCTTATATCTGGTAAAAGAATAAGGGTAAAGAAGACCATATCACTTATTTATAAGAGTTATTGCACATAAACATTATGGTATATACACTTACAGCTCATAAACCGTATGACTATTAACACAAAGTAAAAACCCTGACGAGTTTTTGGTTTTGGTTTTTTTTTTTAAATATATCATATGAAGACAAGAGAACTAGGCAAATTTTATACTTTTCAAAATACACAGGCTAATCACCTGCTGGGGATAAGGCTGACACAGCACTTCAAATGGGAAAATACTCCTTTTCTCCTGGAAGAGGAAGCAAGACCACACTGGAAACAGAGCATGACAGACCCCAGATTTCAATGAACTATGTTAATTTTTATGTATTTATGAATCAGCAACAGACAGGGCTCACAGAGAAGGGAGGAAGGTGAGGAGAGGAAGTGGGACAACTCACCACTTAGAATCACAGAATCACAGAAGGGTTTGGGTTGGAAGGGACCTTAAAGCCCATCTATTTCCACCCCCCCTGCCATGGGCAGGGACACCTTCCACTAGACCAGGTTGCTCAAAGCCTCATCCAGCCTGGCCTTGAACACTTCCAGGGATGGGGCATCCACAGCTTCTCTGGGCAACCTGTTCCAGCCCCTCACCACCCTCTCCATGAAGAACTTCTTCCTGATGCCTAATCTAAACCTCCCCACTTTCAATTTAAACCCGTTACCCCTTGTCCTGTCACTACAGGCCCTTGTAAAAAGTCCCCCCCAGCTTCCTTGTAGCCCCTTCAGGCACTGGAAGGTGCTATAAGGTCTCCCTGGAGCCTCCTCTTCTCCAGGCTGAACAAGCCCAACTCTCTCAGCCTGTCCCCATAGCAGAGGTGCTCCAGCCCTCTGAGCATCTTTGTGGCCTCCTCTGGACTCGCTCCAATTCGTCAATATCCTTCTGATATGCTGACTTGCTGACCAGCATTCCCTCCTAGCTATATCAGTAATTTTTCCTTTGATCCTTCCATCCTTCTCTGCCTTTTTGCAGCTGCCACCTTGCTTAAGGGCCTGCAAAACAGGGTTGGACCAGATGATCTCCAGAGGTCCCTTCCAACCCTGACCATTCTGTGATTCTGTGACTCCAGTTATATGTCCTAAATATTTTGTTTCCTTCGGAGACCAGAGCTGCTCTAGAACCTGGAGCCCAGCATGATCCCACTGGTGGGCCAAGGACTATAAGCACGTGCTACGGGGAAGGCCAGAAAAAGTTGGAGCAGTAACGTTGGTTGGGAAAAGCAAGTGAAATCTGATTTCCCATGGAGCCCTGTAAGGAAGAAGAGAACACCAAAGAACCCACCTCCCTCGCTGTGCTAGGAGAAGTCTACGCCTGCACCAGCTCACCTGTAGCGCTCACTGAATGTGCATGTCTGCTTGAGATCCATGGAAAGGAACCTCAGAAACCAGCTTGCTAATTTTGTTTCCCTGGAGCTTTCGTACCACATTACACAGCACATTTCTGCTAGATAACTGTTGTACCCTAAAGAGGGAGTGGAGCTACAACAGTGTTTCAATGTGATTTTTCATTAACTGGCACAGCTTTGAACCTTCTTTTTTAATTCAAGGCTCATTAGTTTTACTTGTCAAATGTTACACATCATACTAGAATTTTATTTCACTTCCCCCACCCCCTGTCTTTTGACACCCTGGGTGGATTTCTGATGAAAAACACTGCTACTGCCTATTTATCTTTCTTGATAATTGTATTTTCATTCCCCCTGACTTTTATAAGCTGATCAATGACCGTTAAAGAAAAACATGTAGCACACAAAGAATGGAAATGTAACTTTCCAGCTGAACAGAGGCACAAGAAGAGTACTGCCAGTCATTGCCTGACTTTTACTCTGAGGTTACAATTATTGAGAAGCCTATGGGAAAAACAAGAAGTATAGGATAGCCTACATATTAGTGAATGCATCACCAGGTCTACTATCGAGAACAATGCCAAGTAATAAGATACCAGCTCCTTCTGTAAGGACAGAATAAAAACCACAGTCCTGTCTTCAGCAAATCACTCTTCCATGTCCTGCTTAATCCGTGCCCACAGTTTTTCTTTACTTATTTAACACAGCAAGTGGCTCAGAATAAGAAAATTTAAAAACAGCACTTTGATTAAAGAAGTGTTAGCTGAGAAGGAAGGGAATGGAAAATTAGGGATTACACACTTCTACATATCAGCTCAACAGACACAAGTGAAGGAGAACAAAAAAAACAACACAGGCAAACTTTTGCAATGAACCGGCACTATCCTACCCATCAACGCTGGAGAGATACTAGTGAAACCTACCCAAGCGCATGCCAAACACTACCAGAGGCAAATTTTTCCTCAATTGGCACTGTAATCTAAGAACATAAAAGGATTCAATTGATTTTATTTTATTCTTTAAAATCAATTACATCTTTTTTATGAGACAAGAAGTGCCAACAAGAAAGCTGCAGTAGGAGGCAGGAATTCCAGAAGAAAAAGACACCGAGCTCTATGTTGCAAGACTCCAGGCCTACTTACAAATAAATCTGATTTTCCTGCATGCAAAGTACACGGGAACATTTTAACACAGACCCTTGTCTGAAAGTGCCCCTATACACAAAGATACTGGTAAATGTCCTTATTAATCCAAAAGTTGGTTTAGGAGTTCTCCTAAAGTCACCACGTATGACAGACAGTGTCAGCACGGCAGAAAGGACCTCTACAGTTGCTGCGTTACTACGGTAGTTTTTGGCTAGGTACAGACATTTAAAGTGGATGAAGAAGAAATCTGTTCTTTCCATTAAATCCTAAATGTAGGAATCAATCCAGTCAGTACAAGTGATACCATTAAATAATCAACACAAGGAAATATTACTGAGCTTGAACCTTTCTGTAAATGTTCTTCTGACTGGATGATCTAGTGGCCCTCACACACATTCAGAAAGGCCAATAAACTTAGTGAAACAAGGAAAAAAGACCCACATTTAGAAGCCAAAAACATCATAGAGGAAAAGTACAAGCCAAACCACTCCATATATACAGCTGAGGGGCCTTTTATTGTTATTAAAAGTCAGTAACACAGAAGCTCTTGTAATCTATATATACTGAACCATTCAGTTGCACATGCACACTTCCCTTTGGAAGCAAAGATCTAAGAAGTATTGGCCACCCTGGATCACAAGTGCCTGCTACTTACAAAATTAAAAGCAGACCTTCCCTTTTTAATCTGCATGTCTGTCTAAACACCAGCATACAGCATTGGACATTAAGATTATTTTTTTTTCTGTAGGACACTAGTCTCACTCACTATGGTGCCATCATAACGTCAGCAGTGTCTTCATTATGCTATTATGTAAAAGAGCCCTTAAAAATTATTACACTTACCCTCTCTAAAATAATGCAGCACATCACTCAAGCTGCACACATTTCTCTAAATCACTCTGATCTAGAAAACCAAGCAGTAAGGTCACAGAATGCAACAAGAGAGAAGTAAGCAAATATTAAGTAAACCTGGGGGAATTAGGAGGCCTAATGTCTGTCACGATAAGGAGAAGGATCAAGTTTGGATGGAGGGTGGAGAATTTTAAAGACACCTAGTAGAAAGAAGACGCTGATGAACTGGGGAGGGGATTAATGGAGGAGAAAAAGCAGTGGCCACCAGGCTCCAACACACACAGCTCTAAGCAAAACGTAGGAGGAGGTAGACAACTGGTACAGGAGCCAAGAGAGTGGCAAATAAAAAGAGCCCATCTGAAAATTAAGAGTTTCTGCCTGCTTTTTTTGACAGGTGGTGAAACCCAGGGCCAGAATCACATCTATTGTTTCTGCTGCAGATTCACTGGGTGTCAGTGCCCTTCTCAGTAGTGCTGTAGCATAGGCAAAGACAGAGCCTGCTGCAGAGAGGTAACCTGCATCCCAGCCTGTGCGAGGCGGGAAGTTACCCAAGGCGGCTGAGCTGCCCACAGAGAAGCCTTGGACCCTCCCGCTTCTTCCCTGCCTGATGCTCTCACCCTCTTCAGACCCTGTGCTGAGCCAATGCACCTCGCTAACCCAAAAGTAAGCAACTCCCTGTTCACTCTTCACTGGGTTACCAAATTCAATCAGCTCTCAGCAGGCTGGCAAACCTAAGACCGGTGTGAGGTAAGCCCAGACAGTTGCTGGCAGGGCACTAGACTGACTCAAGCCATGTCACCTAACTCTACCTAAAACACCTGGAAGGCACAGAAAAGCCACAACCACCATTAGATAGCTGAGTAAACATGGTTTTGTCCTAATCACGTTAACAGTCCTTTTACACAGGTACTACGTGCTTAGATGAAAATTTTAAGTTCTGCATATACTTCGGCACTGCACCAAGGCCAAGCTGTGGCTCAGCACAATGCCGTTTTAGTTCTCCGCCCTCCAAACAGGCACATTTTATAGCACTGGAAAGGCTCACACCTATTAAAGTTTCCACATATTTTCCTTCAGCAAAAAGCAGGATGAAAAAAACAATCAAACTAACAAAGTCTAAAGGGAGACAGGAGTATAAATAGCACTTTTTTATTTTTGGCAGGGGGAGTGGACAGAGGGGATGGGAATAAAGGGTTTCAAAAATTGCAAAATACTGAGGAAAAGATAAGCAACAAGCTACTGTTAGAAATGTGAGCAGAGCTCATGTTGGAACAGATGCTGATCTGATCTGTTAACTACTCTGCCCTTCTAGATTAGGCGATGAGGTTTGGACATTTGACGCAAGATGTTCCCAAAGCCTGAAGGCTCCTGTTAAATGAGAGAACAGTACCAGGTATCTAGGCCTTTTCCGCTTCTTTTGTTTTGCTTAAACGCATTTTCCCACCATTAAACAGAAGGCAGCACTGTTCCCTGTCCTCCTTTAATGGTGGGGAAGCCCAAGGCACAGTGGGATGATGTGACTGGCCTGTAAAGTCACCAAGCTGGCCAGCCGCAGGGCTGAAGCTGCAGTCAAGGCCTCTCAGATGCTGGCCCAACACTGG